TTTTAGTCGCATCAGTCTTCATTTTTAGTCGTATCAGTCGACATCATTTCTCTATCGTTCACATGCATTCTCTTTTTCTCGTTTCTCCAAATATGTACTTCGAAAATCCTAATATATCCAACACAGATCTCGAAGGAGTGGGATTCAATTTCAATCCTTACGACCCTTGTGTTGCAAATCGTGATATCTACAAGAAGCAGCAGACAATTTGATTCCATGTGGACGATTTGTTGTCAAGCGACGCAATGCCAAAAGTCAATGATGAGTTTCTGGTATGGTTGAACAAGACCTACGAATCTTACAAGGAATGCACTTCCACTCGTGGCAAGGTGCATGTATACCTTGGGATGACATTAGATTTCTCGAAGAAAGGCAAGTTGAAGATTTGCATGGACGACTATGTGAAGCGAATGCTTGATGAGTTCCTGGTCAAGTTTGGCGAGAACAATAATCAAGAAACCCCAGCAGGCAACACACTGCTGGATGTTGGAAATGGACGAAAGCTGGACACTGCACGACAAGAAGTGTTCCATTCTTTTGTGGCCAAAGGACTCTTCTTATCTAAGAGAGCCCAACACGATATTCTACCTACAATATCGATTCTGGCGTCACAAGTGCGTGAGCCAAATGAAAGCAATTGGAAGAGGATCGTCCGTCTTATGAGATACTTACACAGTACTCAAGGATGGCATCTTTTGATCAGTGCTGGTTCACTGCGCATCATGAAGTGGTATGTCGACGCATCGTTTGCGGTCCATCCAGACTTCAAGAGTCACACCGGAGGCTCCATGTCCATGGGGAAGGGTGCAGTTCAAGTTGCTTCCAAGAAGCAAAAGCTGAACACACGCAGCAGTACTGAAGCTGAGCTTGTTGGTGTTGACGATGTCATCACTATAATCCTGTGGACCAAGCTGTTCATGGAAGCTCAAGGATACCCAATTGAAAAGAACATCCTATATCAGGATAATCAAAGCGCCGTTCTACTGGAAGTGAATGGGCGCAAGAGTGCGGGCAAGCAAAGTCGTGCTCTGAACATCAGATACTATTTTGTGACCCACCAAGTTGAGAAGGGCAACCTTGTTGTTGAATACTGCCCTACTGACGCAATGATTGCGGACTTCTTTACCAAGCCTTTGCAAGGCGAGAAGTTCCGTCAATTCTGCGACGAGATCCTTGGAGACCAAGATTAAGTGATCTTGGATACGCGACAAGCCACATATATATATGTGTGTCTTCTTTGTACCGAGCTTTGCCACAAAATGAGTACTACATCTATACATGACTTCATGAGGACAAGAGATACTTTGTACCTTGAAGACTGTACCATGATGGAAGCGATGGGTTACGGCTTTGAGTGCCTCTCAGCACTGGAGTCACAGTTGGTCACAGCCCAATGCTTCTGCTTTGTCGACGACACCGATGTCATTGAGGCTGGCAATACAGTACATCACTTGGGTGAAGCTATATGTGCATCGGTGCAGGACGCCGCCACTCTGTGGGCTGGGGGAATCCGTGCCACTGGCGGTGCGATCAATCCCGAGAAGTCCTTTTGGTGGCTCATTGATTTCGAGTGGGACTCCCGCACAGGTAAATGGAAATTCCGTGGAAAAAAAGCAGTCGCTCCCGACTTTGAACTCCAAATTCAAGGTCTTTCAGGTGCTACTGAATCCTTGCGTCGCCTTGAACCAGACGACTCGGAACGCACTTTGGGAGTTATGCTTTCTCCCTTGGAAAACCTTGAGGCTCACAAGGCTCAGATGGTTGCTAAAGCTAAGGATTGGGCAGAACAGCTTCGGCCTAACCTGCTTCACAAATATGATGTCCTCCCTCTCATCAAGTCAACCATCATGAAGAA